AAGCTGCAGATTCTGCTCGGTTTCTGTTGCCAATCTGCCGTTAGAGTGTGCGTGCGCAGATTTTGTTCGGTTTCTGCCGACAATCTGACGTCAAGTCATGTTAGCAGATCTTGCTCGGTTTCTGCAGCCAATCTGCTGTCAAATTTTGTGAGCAAGATCTGCTCGATTTTTGGCACCAATTTGAAGACTTAATCAATAATAACAACTTCTGTATCAGATTTGTAGCCTTTTTGTTGACAACAGGTGATAGCAGACACTTGCATGATCTGCTTTTGACAGACTTGGCTATCTGGGATTCTGCCCACTATTTTCCTATGCGCAGACCGCGGACCTTTCTCTCATTAAAAAGACAATGAAAGCATTAATTAAAGGACTTAAGGCTCTGAAGTCGAAACAAAGAGAATATAATAGAGTCATAAGAGCCGTATTTGCAGGATGTTATGCCAAAAAATATTTTTAAATATGCATACATAAATATATATATATATGTGTCCACATGTTAATTTACACATAAAATTTTGAATTGAAATTTTTTATTCTAAAAATCATCCAGGATGCTATACTTGCATCTCATGTATACCCCGTATACCCACCCAAAATAAATTTTAAAATATTACAAAAAAAATATGTTGTAATAAAAGTGTTCTGTGAGCACACACACACACACACACATATATATATATATATATATATATATATATATATATATATATGCATATTTAAAAGTGTTGTTCGGCATAACATCCTACAATATAGAAGCATGGTAGGACATGCGACGCGAACAAACCTACAGTTTCGCTCGTGTACGTAGCTGGAAACACCTCTAAAAAAGCGAAGACAAAAAACCAGAATGTTTATTGGTCGCGTTAGTTCCGCGCGTTCCGTGCTATAGCTATCTGGTTAATGGAATACCGCCCTTAAGTTCAAATGGAAAAGAAAATGGAAGAGAAATCTACTGCGTATAAGTGATAAGAAAGTACTAACGAGCAAAAAGGAGATAGTGTTGCGCGTAAAATTGGCGAAATACAACCAATGGCTGTAGAGTGGAAGGACTTTCTAGTAGGAGAGATGCGCGAAACGGATGAGTATTTGTCCATCCGGTTTCTATCTTCGACTTGAATCGTCAGTGATGCAAGATCGAGCCGGAAAGCAACGAGAGCCTCGAGGTGGAGATACGTACACAAGCAGGAATGCGAGTCCTCACTACTTCGATTCTCTCGATTGTTTCCTTCCTCTCCGCCTCGATCTTGCATCACTGAATTTTAAACCCAGTACCAAAACGCAAGGTGCGATGAAGCTATATCGTAATCATATCGCACAGTATCAGTTTGCAAGACTGTAGGACTGATCTAATCGGAGTTGAGTGCTCGCTTTAAACACAAATACACGGTGACAAAAGCATAGTTGTGTGCAATTGCGATTGCAATTAAATAATAAATAAAAAAATGTCATTCACGACAAATCTAGGATATTGTCCGCAAAAGGAGTTGCGTTACACTAAACTATTACCCTTCAAAGATCAATTAGAAAAAGAATCGTTAGTATGGCTTGTCAAGATCAAGCAGAATCTAGGACGTTCTGTTATGCTTCGGGAAATTGAACCAGCATGTGTATTTTGGACGAAACAATTATATATGTGAGAAAACGTCTTGCTTTTAAAAGCAAATTTTTTATAATTTACTAAACCTAAAGATATATTTATATGTGAATTATTTTTATATGTTGTGTCAAAGCACCTTTGTTAATATTCAAAAGGTGCGGTCAAAGTCTCACTGCAAATGGTTCAAAGCATCATTCTATCTTTACTCTATATTTAACGAAAAATAATGATAAAACGATGATTCCAAACATTTGCAGTGAGACTTTTGCCGTACCCAAAGTATTTTTTACTATCTGCAGTCTAGCAAAAAATGTAAGATACGAATTTTTTCAAAGTAACTATGTCTGAGAAAATTGTTTGTTAATAATATATTTATAAAAGAATAATATACAGATCCAATAACATAATATACAAAACAAGAACAAAAATTTAGGAATAAAAATAACAGTAAACTTAAATTTAAAAATGTATTTATAGTGTCAGAAAAATATAACGGATGTTCTTAAGTTTGATATACCAATGAGATTTGGTTTGAAATTCTTGCTATACTGATTTGTTTATTCTTGTGATTTTTGTGTGTGTTATGTTTCCTTTGTCTCTAAAGACCTTGAATCAAGACTGCCAGTACTAAGCATCTATACTTCATGTCACATGTGCTATAGAATATCAGTATTATACAAGGTCAATATCAGGTATAATATAAACATAACAACACACAAAATCATCCCATACGATTTATTGTAGCAAATAAATTGAAGCAAGTAATGATATGATCCACATGCTGAAGTATCGTTTAAAAAGGGTGATACAATGCATGACTTACAGGGTGTGTTTTTGGTTTCGAATGTGTTACGAAAATTATATTCTACATTTTTTATTTGTTTTTAAGGAATAATCCCTTTGTGCTTAGTGATACAGTATAATTTGAATTATTTTATATAGTGGTAACTAACCTTAAATTGTTTTCCAGGTATATAGAAGTGTATGGATTAATGTTTAGTAAAGAAGATCATATAATATTTGCGAAGTTAATGTATGAAATTATTACTATACCAAAAGTGAACGCAAGTGTTATGTTGAAGTGTACTAAGGTGCTTAGAGCCTTACTAAAGTAAGAAATAGAAGTTAAATATTATTGTCAATTTAAACACTTGTAAATGTGTGCGTGAGCGTGTGTGTGTGTGTGCGTGTGTGTGCGTGCGTGCGTGTGTGCGCGCGCGCACTTGAAACAATCTGAAATTATTCTGTGCATAGTGACATTTATAATTTCTTGTTGTATAACATCATTAGAAACCCTATTTCGTGAGAAAATGAGATCAGTTTGAAAAGAATAGCTATGTAGTTTTGGTGCTGCAGTCCAATTGTTTATGGAATGTGTTTGATATGAAATGTTTATATAGTTTACTTTTTTTCAGGAAAGAAGAATTAATTAGTCCCGATGAGTTAGAAATTCCATGGAGACCTTTCTATAAACTGTTATGTAAATTTACAGATCCAGGAATGTATTATTATAATCTAAACTTACATCAGTTCTTAGATGACATACGATACATAGTAACTTACTTTTCAGTAAGAGTTTTATATACATATATACACATATACATATGTATAAAATTTTTTCAAAATCATAAAACATTATTTCCTCCAAATTTGACATATATCTACTTCACATTGTTTATAATAGCTGACCGCCACACAAGAAATATTAGATGAATTAAGACCAAAATTTTGTCCGTTTAATGCGGCAATGAGGAAGAGTATTTATGTTTTATCCATTTTGTTACCAACCAAATTACGTCCTCAGCATCATTCTGTTGGATATCTTTTATGGTTTGATGAACTTATGAATATGTGGAAAGTATTCCATAATTCGCCAAGCTGGGACATCAGTATACTGTACTTAATGGGACGATTAGCACGTGACAATATCGGTTATATTGATTGGAATCCGCACTTACCTGTGATGTTTTCTAGATTTATACGATATTTAAATCTACCTGTAATGTATAAAAATGTCTCAGACAATAGAAAATCTACATTTCGTATACCGCCGATATGTTCGTGGATAGTAGGAGCTTTGGTAAAAATTATGCGATTAATGTGGACGAACAAATTAAGCTTATTCATTCTAATATATACATTTTACAGGGAAATGGTTCAGACGCGCAGAAGTATTTAAATAAATTCTTGAAAACTATAGAAACCTATATTTATCCAGCAAATTGTAGGCGTTGGACAAAAAAATTAACTAAATTTCTTTCCATACTTACAGATGAGTTTCTCATACGTTTACGCAAGTATGTGAATATGTTAAGCGTCAAACTATTCGCGATTCGTGACCCGTGTTTCTGACAAAACCCAAAGCATGACAAAATCATTTATTTCCATCGCGTTCTTCTATACAAAAATCTGTGCTTATACACGTCTGCTTACGTCGTTTAAACATGTCGCGAATACATACTTAATCATGTATATTGTAGAATGTTATCGTAACACTTATGAATCACAAATGACAAATTTTGAATGGACAACTACAAATCGCGAAAGGTTTACACTGACAAATAACAAATTTCTATGAATTGCAAACTATAAATCGCTCGTATTTTGACGCTAATTTTATAAATGTGTGCTTTTCACATATCACATTACTCTCTAATTTATTACGTTAAAAATCACTACACAGCATAAATAATATTGAATAAATGAACCGATAAAATCTCACTTCTGTGTATATAATTTCAGAGAAAGATATAATAAACCTACATGGGAAACTTCAATTCCAGACAATTACAAGTTAACTGATGATGATATCGATGCTTTTGTTAAGAGTGTATTGCCGTTGGCTATGGTAGTTATGTATCACGAAAAAACATTTACCACTGAATATACTACTTTGCAAAATCTAGCTTTGATAAGGCCGAATTTAGTGATACCGGATGTGCTAAGAGAAACAAATTCCACATTTACTTCTTTGATCAAACCACATAAACTTATAAATTCGATAAAGTGCATGACAGTTTTTGCTCAACAAATGGTGCAAGGTTCTAGATATATGAATGGAGGTATAAAACCTGTTATCAGCTTTTTTCTCATTTGTAAATTTCACACAAACAAATATATTCAAATATTTCATAAATTAAAAAAAATTATAAAAACAAGAAAGAAAGAAAATACGTACAAAGTGTTATAAAACGTAAATTTATAATTCTATTTTTTAGTATATTATTTTTATTGTTCTTAACAAAGAATGACATTACACAATAATTTTATTTCGAAAAAAACATACAAGATATTATATGCGCGCGCGCACGTGTAATCCTCTGCTAAAAGAAGAATTAAAAAAAGTTCTAACACTTTCTCACATTATATAAGTTTATTTTTGTGCATTTTTTATAGATCACGTCTTTGCAGAAGGACCAACACACGTAGTACCACTGCTATTTCAGTCATTGCCTGGAATTGATCCAAATAACTTAAAAAAGTGTTATGTTACTTTAACGTTTATAGGTGCATATTGTGGGCTTATTCCTCTTGTAGATTGCTCACAATGTACCACCGACGATAACACCGAGAAAATAGTATGCGAAACAACATCGCGTTTCGAAGACTTTGTTCTGCAATTTTTAGACAAAGTGTGTCTACTAATAGAAACCCTTTCGATCGAGGACGACAACAGGATTGACGAGACAAGTGATTTTGATTTGTCGTTCCGAATGCTAGTGAACACTACATGCGAAATTGTGTTGTCAAACGCTAGCAAAACGATTTTTGATAGTGCTTTAAATAAATTGCGCACATTCATGACGGAACGAATCTCTGAAACCGAAATCGCAGGCCAATTAGCACAATATATGTTCAGAGGATTTGCTAAGTGTAACGGACGCGAAACATTACGGGTACTGTTCCCTACGCTTGCGCAAACAATTTTATCATTGGTCAACGAAATAGAAGATGTTTCGAAGGAATATATTTCAGATCAACGTCTTCTGTATAATTTGCTCATATTAACCGCAGTTGTCGACACGACGGGCGATAATTTGTTACCCTACATGGATACTTTGTATGAGATTGTCGATCGCATCCTACTTTTGAGAGCGACAGATGAAAATACAGCAGCACGCAAATTGTTACAAAAGATTCTCTTAAATTTGTCAACTATCACTATGTATCCTGAAAAAGTAATTTGTGAAGATCCCAATTATGTTCACGTTAGAGACTGGGGTAAAGGTGTGGATGTTGATAACTTTAATCCAAAATGGTATATTCCTGGCGCAGAAGAACTCGCTGTTGTAAAAAAAATATTTTTAAGATATTTAATAGTTCACACTGACAAACTTAAGAAATACTGCGAAGATCCTAGTACATTAACTTCGTAAGTTTAACAAGAGCTTTGTATTCTTTTCAACCGCTATATATTGTTTTATAGAAATAACTAGTGTAGTAAACTAGTTGTGTGTCTGTTTTATTTTTATGGATCATACATGATGTGTTGATACTTTTATGTATTTAAATAATTGCAGGGAGGAGCTGTGTATTAGTTTAAATATTATAGGAGATACTCTGTTCGGAGCCGTAGCTGTTTTACCAGTATGGCCAAAAACCCCGCTTGCACTAATCGAGTCTTCCGTAGAGTGTAATATATCTGTACCACGTCATTTTGATCAAACAGAATTTGTTACAATGCCTGATGGGAGCAATGTTAGGCAACATCTTGCTGGAATTATGAGCCAAGTCCAACGAACAATGTTCAATACTCGAAAAGACGATACAGAAAGTTTCTGGGCTATATGTTTTGTATGTACATAGTAAACTTTATGCGCGTAAAGAATAATCCATGAACAGTTATAAGTGTATTGTTCTGTTTAAACTTTAGATATGGGAAAATCTGTTATTTGGAAATGATAATGATTATAAAAGAAATGTAAAGGTCAACCTCTTTACTGTTTCTCACACCAAGAAGATGTTTGAAAATAAATTAGAAGGAAACAAAAATCGCATACTTAGATTATTACGCAACCGCTGTATACTGCAACTACATATTCGAGAGCTGGTGCGTATCAGAAACTCAAGCATATTAACAGAAACTCACAAACAAATAATGATGGAGGTATTTACATTGGCTACAAGCAAATACACGCAAATTCGTCAACTAGTTCACATGTATATCCTTGATGCTTTTAAAGTTTTCTGGTATTCTTTTAAACTTTTTGTTCCTCATATATGTGATATTTTGACAAAAGATACCGAAAAAAACCATGCTGCGTATAAAGTAAGTAATGATTATATGATATACATAGGTACACTTACACATATAATAGTACATATATAAGTGTTTCAAGAATGATTATTTGTTAAGAAATGTTGTTATATAACTTTTTGACTTACAAACCAACAGGTCGTTTTACATATTTTGCTTCACATTATGTATTCCGATCGTGTAACAGAAGACTGGAATGTATTAAAGATATTGTTGCCAGCCGTTGTACTTTCCAAACCATCTGAAAAAGAATCTCTTATTCAGTTAAGGGAGAATCTTACACACTACATGAGTTGTAACTTTGGTACGTGCACGATCGAATTAAAAGTACCCGATAGATGCCTGACTGTTGCGCGTACTTTATGGAAACACACTCCACATCCACTGTTGCCACAGCCCGATGAAAATATGATACAGAATGGTGTGCAAAACTTGAAAAAATTCAACGAATCTAACTTAGCAGCGTATAATAGTCTGCGTGACGAACTGTTACGTTGTATATCGGAGAAATGTTTACACTGGCGGCATAGATTAATGGCAATGAGTTTTATATATGATATTCGTCATCCAGATCAAAAGTATCCCGCGCAAGCAGCATGTTACTTTTTGCAAGCTCTCATACACGATTCCGTACAGGAAAGACAGATTGCTACGAAAATAGTGGCATGTATGTTGAACCAACAACAGCGAAAACGTCGAAAGGTATGTACCCTAATAGGCACATTTGTGAAAATATTGCA